CACTGATTTGTGCTTTTGGAACAATGTTTGGAACAACTAGAACAATCTATATCGGTATCGGAATGCTTTATTTTCAAAAAATGGGGTGCCAGGTCAAAAACATTTTTTTCATTTTTTGGACTTATTATTCAACTTACAGATTTGTCCTTTTGGAACAATGTTTGGAACAACTAGAACAATCTATTGCGGTATCAGAATGTTCGATTTTCGAAAAGTGGGGTGCTAGCTCAAAAAATCATTTTTTTTGTTTTATTCGAAAACCGTTTCGAATGAAGCAATATCACTTTGGAACAATGTGGTACAAAGTCAGAACAATCTGGACCAACTTTCAAAATTATAAATTTCAAAAAGTGGGGTGCCAACTTCATACACTTGAGTGGTTCATGAGTCGTGCGGGGATTAATTTTTCTCTTTTCCTTCGGTTCTCGTGCGTGCACGCGCTTCCTCCCGTTTTCACTTACACGCGCGTTCGCAGCGAACTCGCGTTCTTGCGAATATCGAATATCTTGTGAATCATTATCAGGTCTGATATGATTTAACACACATGTGTAAACAATTTCGAACTACGCGTTAATAAGAATCTTGTTATTCTCTTATGTCATTGGCCGCAGCCGCTCGAATATCGACCTCTCCTATGCTCTATATACTCGAGTACCAACCGTATTTTTCAGATACATCTGAAAAGAGAAGATCCTTAATCTTTAGACTTCCGGGAAAGCCACAAAAGTGGCTTTCCCAACAGTCTAAAAGTTAACTTACTCGAAATTTCATCGGGAAAGTAAAGCGACCTCTGTGCTACTCAAATTTAAATGATTTCTCATTTGTATAGAGTGAAGTTTTCACTCGCTATTAAAGAGTAAATTTGATTTACTCTTCTACCGTCACAGAAACACATCCGAGAAAAAATGATTATATACAATTACATATGAATCTTGCCTCTATATGGCCACATATAATTATACGTAATTACATATGCTGACATGGAAAGAAATGCTGTTGTACAAATATAGTCCAAGTAATTGCTTATGTTTGTAGCAGCTTGCGATGCCAACGTTTAATTGAATGAAGCTATTTTCCCTTTTGTCTTTAAGAGCATTTTTTTCTGTGTGAACATGTGTGTGTGTGTGTGTATTATAGGATATGAATTATAAATATATTTAATTATATAAATGTTGGCATCACACGCGGACTGTTTTTTTATAATATTGCTTAATTATTAGGTGTACAACTTTGCTTCCGCCGTTTTTTTTCCAAAATTCGAGACTTTATTGTAAAAAACTGGTTATACATTTATGATTCAAAGTATTGTCCATCGCTGCAAAGTATTGTCCGGCCACTACTTTCTCCCATCTTTCGGGCAGCGTACGAATCCCGCGTCGAAAAAACTGGTCATTTTTTTAAACGATCCACGAATCGATCCAATTTTTTACTTCTTCATAAGACCGGAAGTGCTGGTCAGTCAGACTGTGCCATTGATTGAAACAAGTGATAGTCAAAGGGAGCAACGTCTGGAGAATACGACAGGTGGGGGTAGAACTTCCCATTTCAACGTTTCCAAGTATATCTTGACCACTTTCGCAACATGGGGTCGAGCATTGTCATACTGCAAAATCATTTTATCGTGTCTCTCGTTGTATTGCGGCCGTTTGTCTTTCAATGCTCGGCTCAAACGCATCAATTGCGTTCGATACCGATCGCCTGTGATTGTTTCAGTCGTTTTAACAGCTCGTAATACACTACGTCGAGCTAGAGATTTCATCTACGTGGAACTCGTAATCCCCGAGTGTAGTTGTGAAGAATAACGAAGTCACGTGATAAATTATAATTAATAGTGTACGCCTGTTGTAGCTAAATTGAAAATTGATTGAACCTTAATTTCTTGTTCTGTCTTAGTCCGGTCTCTTTTCTCATTCGATCATTGAGACACGAACTTCTTAGGCGTTTGCTAGCGATGTAAGATGATTCTCTCTCTTTCTTCAGAGCGCTTTATCTTTATTATATATATATATATATATATATATATATATATATATATATATATATATATATCTATACTGAGAAAAAATTTACTAAATTTCAAGGAACGTTTGTTTGGATAATACTGTGAAAATATTTATTTAAATTACGTAATTATTTTCTAAAATTAAATAAAGAAGTTTCAAATATATAAATTTGTTTCTTTAATTTTATAAAATAATTACTTAATTTACACAAATATCTTCACTGTACTATCCAAATAAACGTTTTATGAAATTTGGAAAATTTTTTCTCTGTGTGAATCTGGAATAATTAAATTTTTCTTGCGGTCAGCGGTGGTTTTTTATCAATGTTATTATGAAATTCTCCTTTGGAATCATAAAATGCAGACAAGAAGTTTAAATGCTGATCATAAAAAACAGGTTTTTTCTGAAGTGTTAAAGTGAATAAGAGTGTC